ACCCAATGGGGTTTTTGGATCTATCTTCTATCCTTTATTCCCCATAATCCCAGTCCTATTACCAATAAGACAGTTCCAATCCGGCACTAACCTGCCTTCCTCTCAGCTTCAAGCCTGAGCTGACTCTGTTTCAGTGTCTTTCCACAGTCCTCTTTTAAACAAAATTATTCAAAACAAAAAACAAAAACAAAAAGAAAAAGAAAAGAGAAAGACTTACAGTTGCTTGGGAAGGATGTTCTTAACGTAGGGTGGACGCTTACCGCCAGTGAAAGCAGCCGTTCAGGACAAGGAGAGAGGAACAGAACAGTGAGATTTTTTAACACGGATCTCTTACCGAATTGTATGGTGCCTTTCTGTTCAGTCTCTCCGGTCCGTCTCGTCACAATCACCTGGTGTCCCGATCCATCTCACTTCTGACACCATAAATGACGGAGAATTTAATCCGACGGTTCGGATAGGGGCCCAAAACCCCTACCAAATCAATTCCAGACACCCTTCTTAAGCAACCAGCTTTATTCAGGAATGCATTCCAGGGCAAAAACCTCCAGGATACTCAGGAGAAAAAAAGGTTTCTGCAACTGCCCAAACAAAAGGCAAGGTCTTTTGTACTTTCTTACATGGTAATTACCCCCCTTTTACTGATCACTTACAATTGCATGCATATACAGGTCATGCCCCTTTGCACCAAATTCCCTCCAATCATCATTTGTCCCCTCACAGTCCTTTTGCAGGCCTTACAACAGGTTCAAACCAGTTTCACCTGTCCCCCTCCTTTTGTATACCTGTGTTCAAGCACGTACCTCTTTACAAAGACCAGACTTTAACATCCAGGTCACAGTTTATCCTTCAAATTCAAAATGGTTACTTTGGGCTCCATCATCCCAGCACTGCACAAAGGGGATTGGTTCGCGTCCCTCGATCTACAGGACGCATACTTCCATATTGCCGTCCATCCAGCTCACAGGAGATTTCTTCGCTTTACTGTGGGCAACGATCATTACCAATACACGGTGCTCCCTTTTGGCCTATCTGCAGCCCCAAAAGTGTTTTCAAAGACCCTGGCAGTCGTAGCTGCGTACCTTCGTCGAGCCGGCATCACCATCTTTCCTTAGCTCGACGACTGCCTCCTCACGGCCCCCTCGATGCAAGAGGCCGAGACCACACTTACCACTACAAGAGGTATCTTCGAGACTCTTGGACTAATCATCAATCTACCAAAATCTTCTCTGGTCCCGGCCCAGTCCATCGAATTCATTGGAGCCAGACTGGATTCTACAACCGCTATGGCGTACCTACCCATGGACAGAGCCCACGCCATCCGAGACCTATCGAGCGTCCTGCTTACTGCTCCGGCAGTCTCGTACCTTACCTGCCTGAAGCTGTTAGGCCACATGGCCTCCACTACATACGTCATAGCGCACACTCGCCTTCGTATGCGGTGCCTGCAACATTGGCTTCTGGCAACCTACAAACCCGGTATTACCAATATCCACAAACTCATGCCTATTCCTGCCTGCGTCAAGGACTCGCTCGCATGGTGGCTCGACCCTACCAATACTCTTGCGAGTGGCCCCTTCCGCGCTCAACCCCCATCAATCCAGCTTACCACAGACGTGTCCCTTGTGGGCTGGGGAATGGTGGCTCCCCCCCCCTGCCAATACTCTTGCTGGTGTCCCTTTCCGGGCTCAACCTCCCTCAATCCAGCTTACCATGGATGCGTCCCTTGTAGGCTGGGGAGCACATATACTACAACATCAGGTTCAAGGCTTGTGGTCCCACCAGGAATCCCTACTCCATATAAACTTCCTGGAGCTCAGAGCAGTTTTCAACGCTTGCCGCCACTTCGTCCACCAGATCCAGGGAACCACACTACAGGTCCTTACGGACAACATATGCACTGTATACTACATCAATCGACAGGGCGGAGCCAGATCCAGGACCTTGTGTGCGGAATCAGTGTGCCTTTGGAACTGGGCGATTCGCCACAGTGTCACTCTCACAGCCTCCTATCTCCCCGGCAAGGTCAATACAATTGCAGATGCACTCAGCAGATCCTTCCAATCTGTTTCAGTTATGGGGCTACCCAGAAATCGACCTCTTTGCCACTCGTGACAACAAGAAATGTCGCGCTTACTGCTCAAGAGCGGGCATAGGCGACCAATCTTTGGGTGGGTGACTGCTTCATACTCACCTGTAGTGGAGCACCCATGGGGACATCACTCGAAGAAGAAGAAATTGTTACTCACCTTGTGCAGTAACATCTGTTCTTCGAGATGTGTGTCCCCGTGGGTGCTCCACGACCCGCCCT